CCGCCGCCGCCGCCGCCGCCGCCGCCGCCGCCGCCGCCTGGCCGCTCTCAGCCTCTGCCCTGCCCGGTTTGGGTGTCTCTCCTCCCCGCTTCCCCGTGGATCGCTGCCTCTGGGGCCGCCGCACACTGCCCACTGGGGAGGCTCTCTAGGATAACGGCGCGTGAAGCAGACTGGAAAGCGGGTGTGACAGCGCCCGCCAGCCTGTGCTGTGCTTAGAAGTACGTGTATTAGTCCTCGCCCACGGAGGAGAGTGCGAGGCCAACGTTCACATCCACACGAAACTTCAGACTCTGTCTGGGTCCCTCGTTTAATTTCTTTTTTTTCTTTTTTGGAGAGGTTTTTGCTATAGGGCGCCTGTGCTCGCCAGAAAGACAGACAGAGACAGAGAGACAGAAAGCAAGAAATCACCCCCCCCCCAGGGGGGGGGGATGGCCATGACGCAATCCCATCTCCTCCATTCTCCTCTCGGGATCTTGGGCACGCAGGAACATGCACCAGGTGTGAGTTTAAACCATGGATCCAGGACTTGAACTGCGGTGGATTTACTCCATCTGCTGGTCCCAAGGTTTAATTTTAAACTATTCCTATTCCTTGGAAGTTAGATGCAGAACTGGATACTGTTGCCTTTCTGAAAAGGCTCCCTAGGACCCACCCCTGGGCGGTCCTGGCTGGGAGGGAGGACAGGACTGAAGGGCCTGGGCCTTGTTCCAAGGGAGACATCCTATCTCCAGAAGTTGGGGGCAGGTTGTCAGCTGCAACTGAAGGAAAGGTGAAGAGGCTCAGAGAAATATGCACGTGCGTCTAGGTCGCTGTAGAGGGACTCAGATCAGCTCTGTAGTTCCATAGGTAGGGACCTCTCACTCCCTGGCCACAGAGTGGGAAGTTTCTGTTACATTGCTGGCTTTCGTAACAGTGTGTTCACTTAGGGATTCAGCTGTTTTCCTAGCTAAGAGTTGCCTTTAACTGTTTTATAACTCAGCTCCTAAGTCCCTTTTTTCTAAATTTTCAAAAGTAGTGAGAAGTGTTTCATGGCAGGACTAGCAGTTGGCATAATGGCTATGTTGCTGGACTCCCATGTATTCAACCGCGGTTTGAGTCCTGGACCCGGTGGCTTAAACTCACGCTGGGCGTGTGTGCGTGCATGCCCAAGATCCCAAGAGGAGAATGGAGGAGAAGGGATTGCGGCGTGGCCCTCCCCAGGGGGGTGATTTCTCACTTTCTGTCTCTCCATTTCTCTGTGTTTCTGGCAAGCGCATGTGCCCTATAGCAAAAACCTCTCCAAAAAAAAAAGAAAAAAGTGATTCTTGGCACACCCACCAGATCCAGAACGAAACCTGCATGGGGCGTGTTACCAACTTGGAATTCGTTTGTGTAGAGAGAGAGAGGGAGAGAGGAGAAAGAAGAGCGAAAGAAGTCGTCCCCCCAAGGGGACAGCCACACCACAGTCCCTTCTCCTGGGCACACGCACATACACCTAGTGTGTTTCTCAAGCCAACGGTTCGAGTCTGCCGAGTCGGTCATATGGGATCCAGTTCTTTAACCCTCTTGCCACCTGCTGGCTCCAGCAGAGAAGTTTGTTGTTGTGGTTGTTGTTGTTTTTAATAATGATTTAAGTTTGTTTATTTATTTTATTTTTTTCACATATCTTTTTTTTTTTTTTTTTTGGAGAGATTTTCACTGTAGGGCGCGTGCGCTAGCCAGACAGACA